ATGGTGCAATTCGTCGCCATCAGGTCAATGGAGCTATACCTGCACTGCGCCAACACGCTGCGAGTGCTCCAGGGGGGGCCTGGCGAGGGCTGCGGCGCAGGCGACCCGCGGCCCCACACTTGGGGGTCCGTCTGGGGGGCCTTCACGCCAGACGACTTCGTGGCGCACAAGACCCTCGGGCACGCCGCTGCCGCGGATGTGGAAGCAGGGCGGTCCAAACATTGGGAGCAGCGGGCCAACAACCACGGTAACTACGCAGACGAGTTGACCAAGGAAGGAACACGCTGCCACCACGTCTACGCCGAGGACGAAGCGCTCTGACATGGGTTGTCCGACCTCGCGTCTGAGATGGCGCGACGGTGCGCTGAGCTGGCCGTGCACATGGCCGACGACGGGCTGGTGGACCACGGCGACTTGCTGCACGCGAAGCAGGAAGCGCAGTCTGGCGCAGAGGCCACAGCCAGGCAGCCTGCCGCAGGCGTGGACGAGGAGAGGCCGAGCAGCACCCTGCGACCGCAAAGGCGCGAAGGAAGGATGGGCCGGGATCCCCTGGGCCAAGAGCAGGCGTGCTCAACTTAGCTGGAGCGGCCTGTTCGCGGTGGCGAAGCGTGCTCGCGGGCCATGCTCTGCTGCAGTGCTACGAGCTTCGAGAGCCAGGGGAGATCCTTGCCTTCTGCCTGCGCTGCGGTGGGACGTCGTCGGGGGGCGCGCCTGGGAAGCTGCTGCGATGGGAGTGCGAGGTGGGGCGCTCCATTTCAGCGCGGACAAGGAGCAGCTCCACCTGATCTCCCATGGCAGGCCGCACGACTGCCCCAAGCGGAAGCATCACTGGCGTGGGCCGCCGCAGTCCCTGGATGAAGGCGCGGCCAGAGAACTGCTTCGCCAGGGGTAGGCTGCCACCAGAAGCAGCCGCGGTAAGGCGCCACGCGGGGCCGGAGCCGCGGCGCTGCGTCCCCAGGGCCCACGGGGAGGGGGCAGGGTAGCCGTGCTGGCGAGCTTCGGGCTCGACGAGCGCGACCTGCCCTGGGTGCGCAAAAGGGAGCGCCGGGCAGCCGCCGCGGCCGAGGGCGGCGACTCTGCCGAGTTGGATTTCTTGAGTGCAGCGACAGCGGCTGAGGCGAATCGGCCGCTGCGTCTCATCCTGGCCTTCGGGCCGCCGGCGCCGCCAGCCGTTTGCTTGCCCCGCCATGCCATGCCATGCCATGCCATGCCATGCCTCCCTCCCCCAACCCACCCACCCACCTTCCTGTGGTGATACAAAGAGGTGCCAATACCGCTACTGCCAGGACCTCTCCCGAGATGCGTTCCGACCAGGATTCCGAGGCGAATCCAGCAGTGGCGACGAGGGTCAGGGTCTCCCGGGAGGCCCGACCCGAATATTCAAAAACGAGGAAGGGTAGCGGTATGGGCACCTTTTCCTCCTCTGATCCTGTGCCCTGGCCTGCCCCCTCCCCCTCCCACACTCATAGAAGATGAAAAATCTGCGTGAGCATGAACTTTCGTAGGGGGGCCTCAGCGCCGGTCCAAGAAATCCGCTCGAAGCTCTGAAAGTATTCCTCGAACTCACCCCTCACGAAGAGGACGGGATGAGGGAGAGAGAAGTGAGTGGGCAGAAGGAGGAGGAGCGGGGGGAGAGGGACAACGCACCGCGAATGCGGCGCCTTCGATCACGACTCGGAGCCATGGTCTGACGGCCTAGGCCGGAGGCCCTGCGGATAGTCCTCCCCGAGCACGCGCTCCGGAGACATGTGAGTTGCGGTGCCGACAAAGGTATCACAGAACTCAGCGTCGCCTAGCTTTTTGGATATGCCGAAGTCGGTGACTTTGACGAAACCCTTTGAGTTGACGAGGATGTTCCCCAGCTTCACATCTCTATGAACGACATAACTTAGATGAAGGGTCTTCAGTCCTTCAAGGATCTGCATCATCATCAAAGCCAGGATGTTCTCAGGCACCGTGGCGACTTTGTTCTTGACGTCGGCGAGGCTCCCATAGTCCATGTATTCCAGGGCTACGTTGACACAGCCCGTGTCTTTGTGAACGTACGCATGGTACAGCTGGATGCAGGCGCTTCCAAACTTACCGCTGCCAGAGGCGCTCTAAACATTGCATCTTCTCCCCCTACCCTCCCACAAAGGCTCGCTCACAAAACGGCCGCCACAAAAAAGAACTCCGGACGACGAGCGACAAACAATTCTGAGGGGCAGCCTGCGCAACGGGAGGGTCTCCAAGAGGTCGCCGATCGACAGCTGATTGAATCGGCTGCCACGGCAGCAAGGCCCCTGGGCCCCAGGATTTCCCCCACCAGAGCCTGTGTAGCCATGGCCAATGCCAGTGCGAGTGAACTTGAGGGCTCTGGGGGCCTCTGGAGGCCAAGCAAGGGCACCCGAGAGCCTCGACCCTGGACTCCAGGAACAGTCAGCGACGACTCGGGAAATCGGATAGACTCGGAACGTGCATCGAATTAGGCTGCATCGGCTCGGATCGTCCGTGACAGAATGCACAACAGCGCCGTGCGATCATCGGGCCGCATCGCATCATCGGAACCTCGGAATCGAACAGGATCGGGCTGGGCGGAATCGGTACCAGATCGGCACGGATCGGATCGAGATGGGCCATGCCCTCGACCACACCTCTCCTCCTAGAAGGAACATCTGCGTAAACCATAATTTATGGAGGTCCGCGCGGGTCTCCAACAATTTGTGCTTATGTCAAAGGGGCCCAGTCACGTCTGGGCTAGGAGGGAGGACGACGACGACGACGACGACGACGACGACGACGACGACGACGACGACGACGACGACGACGACGACTTCGTCTTCTGCTTCGGGGAAGGACGCCCAGGAGCCTCGACCCTCGATCACGCTCCGCCTCCCTGCTCCTCCCTCCTCCTCGCTGCCATCGCCGCGGAGCATCCCGAGGCACGAGCACCTCCAAGGGCCAGCACGAGCAGCACTTCCCAAAGAAACCAGCGAGAACGTCCGCAACACCAGCTCTTTGGACGCCCCCGACGTCCCCCTCCCCCGTTGGCCCACCTCCCATTAGCGGGCGAAGAACGGTATGAAACAAGCTTGTCCGCCGTCGGGGACGCCTGCCCCCCGGACGGCTGGGAAATTTATACCCCTACGCTGCCACGTAAGGTCATAAACTTTCCAGCCGCCCAGGGGGCAGGCGTCCCCGACGGCGGACAAGTTAATGTTATACCGTGCTTCGCCCTTTAATCCTCTCCTCCTCTCCCCTCCTTGCTCCTCTACTCCCCCACCCCACTCCCACTTCCTCCCCGTTTCCCTTTTAGAGCAAAAGGAAGAGGAGGAGGAAAGGGAAAAGGAGGAGGATTTGCAGCAGGGTGGGGAGGAGCAGGAGGGGGGGGAGGAGGAGGCCGGGGCGGAGGAGGGGCAGGATGATGATCGGGACTGCCCAAAAACTGAACATAGCGGTGAGTTTGGAGCCACCAGGGATAAGGAACGGGCTCTTCGCTATGCGCAACAGGTTGTGGAGCTCGTTGATGAGCTGCGAGCGCTTTGCCTTGTCCTCTACGCGGACGACCTTCCGGGGGCACAGCAACGGGCCGTGACCATGGGCGTGGCGACTGGCAGGCCTGAGCTGGGTCGAATCGCGAAATCGAATCGGATCGGGAACGCATCGGATCGTCAGCGAATCGTCCCGAAGGGACTCGCGATTGGATCGCCGCGCCTGGCCGAAGCTGGTGAGTCGAACCGAACCGAATCGAATCGGAATCGCGGCCCAAGCCAGCGAATCGAGTCGCATCGAATCGGATCGTGGGCTGCCCTACCTGGCACGTTGACGTGTCGTAGAATGCCAAGTGCTTTCTAGTAGGGCGTCTGCAAGCCTTCTGAGGGCCCTGCGTGCATCCCCCCTCGCCCCTCCCGAAGCTCCATTGCCAGTCTAGCGCTTCACTAGAGCTCCAAGACGGCTCAGAAGGCCACCAGGATGGTCCAACATTGCCTCAAAAGGCGCCCGACGGCTCCCAGGAGGGCCAAGAGGCCCTCGAGGAAGGCAGAGCCATTCAAAACTCGATAAAGTTCCTGTGGCGTTTGATTATTTTGCGTCTCCCACACCTCTCGGATCAAGATGGTTGCACGAGGGCCTCGGAGAAGCCAAAGAGAAGCTAAAACAGTTCAGTGAGGGCCCCAAGAAGCCCCCCAGATAGCCCAGGACAGCCGTAAAGAGAACCTCGAGATGGCCCAAAGGGACCCAGGACAGGCCAAAAGGACTCGGAGGGAGACCACAAGACTGCCCCACGGCCAAGAGGGGCCCAAGACGGCCCAATACAGCACCAAGACGGCCCAAGAGAGCCCCAAGACGGCCCAAGAGGCCCCGAGAGGGCCCCATGAGGGTCCCCCAGGAGCCCAAGACATCCTGAAGACGGCCCAAGTAGCCCCCATTAGAGCCCACCATCGAATAGAGACGAGAGGTAAGACATGTTACGGCATCCTGGGCGGTGCCTGAAGCGCCGCTACACAAAGTGCTGTGCGCGGCGGCGAGACTTGCAGCGTGCAGCTGGATAATGATAGTTATGGTGGTGGCGTCTGGTGGGTCGGTGGTGGTGGGTCGGTGGTGGTGGGTCGGTGGTGGTGGGTCGGTGGTGGTGGGTGGCGGGTGGTGGGTAGCGATGGTGTGTGGCGGGTGGCGTGTGGTGCGCGGTAAGTGGCCGTGGCGGCGGCAGAGATAGCGGCGGTGGCGATGGCGGCCGGGGCGGAGGTGGTTAGGGGGGACGGTGATCGTGGTAGCAGCAATTGGGATGTGTGGAACTGAATACGAAAGAGAAACGGATCTCCCCCACAAAACATAGCGACCTTACGCCTCGACTTAAGCGGGTCGCTGGCATTGCACACCGCGTGGAGAAGAGGGTTCTTACGCGCGACCTTTCACGGAAAGATTACGCTCGAGTGTCGGCGCAAACGATCCTATTTTCTGTCGTCGCTCATGTGCTACCACTGCGTTCTTAGTCGCCATCCCACCTTACGTCATACCCTACCGCTCCCGAGCACTAAAAGCGCAAGCCAGCACAGGAAATCGAAGCAATCCGAACGAAGGCCGTTCGCCACCTTTCTCGCCCTCCTTCCCCTCGTCCAACTCCCGATCGTCGCCGTTGTCGTCGTCGTTGCCACCGTTGCTATCCTCCTCTTCGCTTGGGCTCCCAGACAGGACAAAGAACCTTGACGGCGAGGATCTGACCGGTGGGCCGGTACAGGCCCTTGGCCACGATGCCACCTGCTCCTCTGCCCAGCATCTTGAGCTGGTCAACCTCGATATCCTTCGGAGATCCTGAACGCGTACACCCACAGACCTAGACTTCTGGCGCCCTAACAAAACAGGACCGCCGAGTTGTCAGCGCTTTGAGCCCCCAGGGGGCCCGTGTCGGGCCCGATAGCCCACAACAAAAACATCGTGCGCGAATCCCAGGCGAAAGGAGGAGGCCCGGAGCTCGTGAGCTCCACGCAGTGGAAAAGCACAAACCTCGTAGGCCCTGGCCTCATGTAGAGAAGCGACGCGCGTCGATTTGTTCCCCACCGTGCTGGCACAACAGCAGAAAGGCCCATTACACGCGACCCGGGGGCACAAAGGCTCCCCAAACCCTGGGCGACAGAGAGCCGCACGTTTCCTGCACGCCGTGGTGCAGCCCACCAGACCGAAGTTCAGAAAAAGCGCGCCTATTGCAGCAGTGCTGTAGTTTTAAAGGAAAAAGAACTGTGCACATGCACCGATTCTGGCCAGGCCCATCCTGAGCCCAGGATCGGTGCATACGCCCTCCTACCTTGGCCAGGAAGGCATATGCACCGATCCTGGGTCAAAGATGGGCCTTGCCAGGATCGGTGCATGTGCATAATTCTCGTCGCCCGTAGTTCGGCGGGAGGGCCCCAAGGAGGGGAACACAGACGATACTCCCGCGCATGCGTGCACTCTACCGGGCCCAGCCCGCGGCACTCGCGCCAGCGTACCCTCACGGGCACGAGCAAGAACAGAAACGGACGAGGGCGAAAGAGGGCATGGAGGAGGAGGAGGAGGAGGAGGAGGAGGAGGAGGAGGAGGCAGTCAGGGTTGGAGACCCAAGACCGTGACGAGGCAGAGGCCCAGGTATCCACCCCCGGGTCACTCAACCTCGGGGCCGTCCCAGCGGAGCCGAACGGCAAGGCAGAGGCCACCCAGCGGCAGCTAACACATGACGGCCTTGAAGGCTGCCGCGAGGGGTTGGAGACAAAACCCTCAACGGGCAGAGGCCCACGTGTCCACCTCCCGAAAACATGAAACCACGGGGCCGTCCCAGCGGAGCCGCGGGAAGGCAGACGGCTGAACCAGCGGCAGCGAGCACGCGACGGCCTTGCGACCGATGACAGACAAAGACGCCTGCCGCGATGCGGCAAGAGCCAGCCCGACGGCTGCAGAAGCGCAGGGCGTGGAGCGCCCGGACGAGACAGACGGGCAGGCTCGCTCAGGAAGAACCTGAGCCGGCGACGCGCCGAGGGGGGAGCGAGGGGGGGGGGGGGGGGGGGGGCAAACCTTCTCAGAAAGCGGCGCGGCTTCTCAATGCCCTCCGGCCTGCTGAGCAGTCCTCTGCGTCGTCGGAGCAGGCTCAGAAAGCTTCTCGAAAGGCCGGAGGCCCCTCTAAACCTTCTAGGTCGGCCAAAAGCGGCACACTATCACGCCGCGCAGCGCGGGCATCAGGCGGGCCAGTCAGCACCGCCAGTTCACAGAGGGGAGGGGGGGGAAGGGGGCGGAAGGAGGCAGGCAGAGACAATACAGGGGGAGCGGAAAGTACGGGGAACAGAGCGTGATCCCAGCAAAGCATCCTGATCGCGATATGCTGGGGCATGGAACGACGAAGCGAGGATGTGTCCTTTCATGTCGGACCAAGTGAACCAACATGCACACGTATACATATATACATACATGCATACATACATACATACATACATACATACATACAGACAGACAGACATACATACATACATGCATACAGACAGACAGACAGACAGACAGACAAACAGACAGACAGGCATACATACATGAATAGCTACATATACATGCATGTGCATACACATACGTAGATATACATACTTGTACATAGGCATATATATATATATATATACATATACACATACATATACACATGCATATACATATACATCTACATATACATATACATATATATATATATACATATATATATGTGAGAGAGAGAGAGAGAGAGAGAGAGAGAGCGTGATCCACTGCCGCTTTACTGTGGAAAATTGCCGCCCTTTTCCTCCGAACCCGGGGGTCCCCCCGCCCCCCCTCCGAAAATCCCCCCCCCCCTGCTGGATCCCCCCCCCCCCCCCCCTCCCCCGGCAAACCCCCCCCCCCCCTAACCCCTCCCCCCCCCCCCTCGAACTCGAAAACCGGGGGGGGTCACTACCGGTTCGAACCCCCCCCCCCTCGAAAACCGGAGGGGGGGGTCACTACCGGTTCGAACCACTGAGCTGTCCCACTGTTCCCACCACTGTCCCCACTGTCCCCACTGTCACCACTGTCCCCACTGTACCTCTGTCCCATTGTCCCACCGCCGTCCTCGCCACCGCCTTCACCACTGTCCCCACCACCACTGTACCCTCCACTGTCCTACTGTTTCCACCACATTCCCACTGTCCCCACACCACTGTCCCCACCACCACCGTCCCCACCACTGTCCCACTGTCCCCACTGTTCCCACCATTGTCCTCACCATTGTCCCCACCACTACCGTCCCCACCACTGTCCCACTGTCCCCACCACTGTCCCGCTGTCCCCTCACCACTGTCCCCACCACCACCGTCCCCACCACTGTCCGCACCCCCCCTCGGTTTTCGGGGGGGGGGGTGGGGGGGGTTCGAACCGGTAATGACCCCCCATGGTTTTCGAGTTCCAGGGGGGGGGGGTTCGAACCGGTAGTGACCTCCCCCCCTTTTCATGATGAACTGGGGGGGGGGAGGGGTTCGAACCGGTAGTGACCCCCCCCCGGTTTTCCGGAGGGGGGGGAGGGGTTCGAACCGGTAGTGACCCCCCCTGGTTTTCCGCCAGCAGCGGTAGAACACGATCTCACACCTATATATATATATATATATATATATACACATATATATACATATATGAACATAGACATAGACATAGACATAGACATAGACATAGACATAGATATAGACATAGACATAGACATAGAAACAGACATAGACATAGACATAGACATAGACATAGACATAGACATAGACATAGACATAGACATAGACATAGACATGCACGTATACCTATACGTATATATATACACACACATACAAATACACATACACGGATACAGCTACACCTACAGATACATATACATATACGTATACCTACACATAAATATCTACGTATACATGTACATAAACATAAGCATAGACATATACATATACATATACCTATACGTATACATATACAGGTTCCCCGAACAGTGTTTGTATTTTGGGGTTCTTACTTGGCTGTCTGAAACAAGTGTATAGGTTTCCTGGGTTTTCGCCACGTTGGCGCCCGTGCCCACTCGCGGGCGCATAGTGGACGCTCCGTGCGCTGGGTGGGTTTCCCCAGGTTTCGCCTCGTTGGCGCCAGTGCCTGCTCGTGGGCTCCCCGTTGGCGCTCCGTGCGCTTACACCGCATAGCTTACACAACATAGCTTACACCGTATAGCTTTCACCGCATCGCTCACACCACACAGCTTACACAAAACCGGCTTCACCCCCTAGCTTGCACTGCGTAGTTTTCACAACGTAGCTCACATCACACACATGGTACACAACATAGCTTACACCGTACAGCTTACAAAAAACAATGTGCACAACATAGCTCACACCCTATAGCTCACACCAGATAACTTACACCACAAAGCGTACACGACTAGCTCACAACACATGGCTTACACAATGTAGCTTGCAACGCATAGATTACACCACCTAGCGTGCACTCCACCGCAAAAATTACACAGCATAGCTGACATCACATAGCTTACACCGCATACAGTTAACCTCCAAGGTGCACAGACTCACTGGCTGGAGTCCACAACTGTATAAATATATATATATATATAAAAATGTATCTTTATATATATATACATGTGTATACGTGTGTGCAGATATGTCTGTGTACATAGAGAGAGGGAGACACCAAAGAGAAAGAGAGACAGAGAGAGACAGAGATCGGCATACATGTAGTTATAGGTGTGTATGTGTGGGGGGACGGGGATGACGAGGCTGAGAGGGCTCCTGAGAGGCGATGTTCGGGTCTTGAAAAGCTCCCGAAAGGCCCCTGCGATACTTCTGAGAGGATCCCCAGAAACTCCTGAGAGGGCAGGAGAAGGCCGTGAAAGGGCCACGAGAAGCTCCTGAAAGGCTCCTACCAGTCTCCTGGGAGGCTCCTGAGAAGCTCCCGAGAGACTCGTGCGAAGCCCATGAGAGGCGGTTGGCTCTTGAGGGGCCATTGGGAAGGGCTACGAGAGGATCCTGAGGGGCTCCCGGTGACCACATGCTTCCAGAAAGAAAAGTAATAATAACGATTCACGCAGAATAAACAATAGATGGTGATTAACTATCACACATGAAAACGGTAAATGCTAATAGTACTAATACTCGTACTAATACTACTACTACTACTACTACTACTACTGCTACTACTACTAATAATAATAACCAGACTAATAATAATAGTAGTAGTAGTAGTAATAATAATACCCATAATACTCATACATTGCGATAGGAGTAATTAGCAATAATAATAACAATGTTATACATAATGGTACTAATAATAATACTGATACTAATAATAATATCAAGAGCGTTTCCCCCTACACGTGGTCCTCGTCACCCTCCCTCCTCCTCCTCCTCCCCCTCCTCCTCCTCCTCCTCCTCCTCCTCCTCCTCCGCCTCCTCCTCACCCTCACCTTCCGTCCTCGACCCCTTTTCCGTTCCCGTCCTCGGGGTTGATGCTGTCCAGGACGTTCTTCCCATCCTGAAGCCCGTGCTCGCTGATGTGGATCCTCGGCAGATGCCAGCGCGCTGTCCCATGCCCATCCCCCGCAGCAGTCCCGATCGGCCCCCCCTTGCAGCCCCGTCGAAGAGGGGGCGAGAAGGGTTCCTCCTCCTCCATTTTCCTCCACCTCCTCCTCCTCTTCCTCCTCCTCCTCCTTTTCCTCCTCCTCCTCCTCCACCACCTCCTTCTCTTCCTCCTCCATTTCATCCTCATACTCCTCCTCATCCATTTACTTGCCCCCGAATGGGGGACCAGTAGCCGTAGTGTCATGGTGAGATAGAAAACAAGAAAGTGGGCTGCCTGCAACAGTAGCAACCGCAAAATAAGCAAGGGCAAAGAGCTAGAAAGAGAGAGAGAGAGAGAGAGAAAAAAAAAAAAAAAAAAAAAAAAAAAAAAAAAAAAAGAGAGAGAGAGAGAGAGAGCGAGAGAAAGAAAGAGGAAGGCGATTAGCCCGCAGGGTCGACATGAATTGACTGGCACGAACAATGAATAACCTTAGCGCCACGTCATCATCATGAGTGAGGCAGTCGAGCGGGAGGATGTGCAAAACTACTTGGACGGCAGCAACGGTGCGCGGGTCCCATTCCATCACCGTGAAGATCGAGGGTCGCGCCTTCGATTATGTCGAACTGTTTCGGGGGCCCCGAAGGCCCCAAAGAGCCTGCAGAAGGCATCCGGGGGGGGGGGCTGAGCTTCGGAAACCACTCAAAACATCTTGAACCCCCCTGGGCCAGTTGGGAAGGGATGGGGGACGGCGGAGGGAGATGGGAGGGGAAGCAATGGAGGGAGGAGCGGGGAAGGAGGAGGAGGAGGAGGAGGAGGAGTGAGGAGGAGGAGGAGAGGAGAAGGAGGAGGAGGAGGAGGAAGAAGAGGAGCGGGGAGCGGGGAGTGGGAAGCGGGGAGCGGGGAGCGGGAGGCGGGGGGCGGGGAGCGGGGAGCGCGGAACGGGAAGCGGAGGGAGAGGAGGAGGCGGGGGAGGAGCGGGGAGGAGGAGCAGGAGGAGAAGGAGGAGCAGGAGAAGGGCGGAGGAGGAGCAGGAGGAGGAGGAGGAGGAGGAGGAGGAGGAGGAGGAGGAGGGGGAGGAGGTGGAGGTGGAGAAGGAGGAGGAGGAGGAGGAAGAGGAGGAGGAGGAGGAAGAGGAGGACGAGGAGGAGGAGGAGCAGCAGGAGCAGGAGGAGGAGGAGGGGGAGGAGGAGGGGGAAGCGGGGCGCCCCTCCGAGTCCGTTTGATCAACTACTGCCACTGCCCACGCTCCCGCTTCCGCATCCATGGCCCCATGGGAAGGTCGGTGGCCAGGCGCGCAGCGCGTGCGAGCATGAAGGCAGTCGCGGGGTCGGGCGGGCCGCCCGACCGTCTCCTGCTCCGAGCGTGCAGGAGGCGCTGGAGGTGATAAAAGATCACGAGCCTGCGGAGACGAGGGAGACTGCACGGGATATGCCGCTTCAGAATCAGATCGTGGACGATACACACTGGCTCCTGTCTGTCAGCTTACTGACCGTCCGCGAGGCCGTCTGCCAGTTCGAAGGGACGCAAGAGACAATGCTGTGAAACTGCGTTGATACCATCCCTGCCAGAACAGACTGCACGGGTGGAGAGGAAGACGAGACGGGAGAGGCTCAGGAGGCGGGGCGGGATCAGGAAGGGATGGGCCAGAGACCACTGCAACATCAATGGAAATGCGGGCAACGAATACAGTGTGTGAGGCTATCTCGGCATGGGCATCCGAGCAGGCAGCCTCGGTCGACATTCCTTACACGCGCGTCCGCGACCCAGCCTCCTGTCCACGTGCGAACTGCCGCCAGGCGCCAGGCCCGCGGGGCCGACTCCAAAACGAGATGCACTTTTTGCCGCTGGAACTGGCCTGAGGCGACGGGGTCAATCTCAACCATTTGGCGCGCGCGAAGGCAGGGGAGAAGCGAGTCGGGGGACCGATAGAGGATAGGGAGGGTGCCACGGGGCAGAGCAGGCTGCATCTTGAGATCGAGGGCCCTTAGCAGCAGGACGCGTCACCAGAGTGTTCCGGCGGAGCTGTTCCGGAACGTCATGGCGACGGCCTGCTCCGCGCTGGGTCAGCAGGGAACCAGATCGTTTTAACCCTCTGCGGCATCGAGCGTTCCCGCACCGCTCTGCGCTCGGCCCCCAGAGAGGACACCCCGCAAGGGTCGCCGCACGGCCCCGCCCCAAGGAGACCCGAGCTTCCGCCGCTTCCCGCAAAGACCGCGCCACCGCGGGCTCCCGCCAGAAGTCGGGCCAGTGGCGGAGCTCGTTCTTACCGGCAGTGCCTCGCCAGTGCAGCCGACCAACGCGCATTCGCACCCATGCGCAATCTCCCAGCAGACGGCACATTCGAGACCGGCACGCATTGAAGGTGAGACCCGTCCTCGTTCTGGCCGTTAGTGCAGTGCTGCGGACGCCCTGGGACCCTGGGACCCCCCATCGAGGGGAGGTCGAGGAAGCAGGCGGAGGAGAACCAGGATCCAGGGTCCCGAAAAACGTGATTTAAAATGTCTTTCTCTCTGCGGCGCAGCTGCGTGGGAATCGGATACAACTGGGATTTGCACGAAAGGACGCTGATCGCCCGTTCGTGCTATAGCGCAACCGTGGCATGCGCGTCCGCATGCGATCGAGAGATCGCGAGCACCCTAGCCTCCCGCTTGGCCGAGGGGACAGCCCACTGCTTCGAGTTCTCAGCCCCTGGGCCATTTCGCACCCCAGATACTCCAACGACGGACCGACCCGAGAATCACCTCACCCATACTCGTCGACTCGAGAAGCTCAGCAGCTTGGGCCTCCAAGTCTTCAGACCAGGGGGCCAGAGCGGGGTGACACAACGCGTTGGAGGCCTCAGCCCAAGGCCAGCAAGCTTTTTCGAGATCCTGAAGATGCGCGCGAAGACGCGCAAACCTGGCCTTCCCCACAAAACCGCTCCCACGTCGCCCGCACACCACCTCCCAACAAACCCCCTTGCCAGCGGCCTCCAGGGTCCGCTCCATGTCTTTGCAAAACGGGTGCACAACAAGAACAAAGAGCCTGCCTGAGAGGGGGCCCCCTTGGAGGACGCCAGCCAGGATCCAGAACAAGAGTGAGGGATCGCTGTCAGCACTGAGAGTGGCAGCCATGCTGCAATTCGCTTGGACTGCTGCCATCAAGGCCTCGGGGGCGCCCCAAGACTCCAGAACTTGCCAGATCCAGGCGTGGGCTACCGAGGGGAAGGCGCAGGCGTAGTCAAAGGCGAGGAGGAGAGGGTGGGCAAAGGCAGGTGAATGGGAAGTCCATAGCTTGCATGTTGCCTACTCTGGCAAAGCTGTCGAGCGCAAAAAAATCCTCTCTGACTTGGGCCAACTACCTTTGGCACCGTCAGCACGTTTAAGCGGCCGGTTCAGGGCCGAGCAAATTCCTTTAGCACCAGTGCTGCGCAGCGAAAGGGGGCGCGTGCTGCCAGGGGCCCGCGAGACGACAGTCAGGTCAGCCCCCACCGATCCCTTCGTGAGAAGGATGCCACTGGCCAGATTTTAAGCAGATCGCATGGGCAGACCCTCGAGCATCCACCGCATGGCCCGATGGAGGACAAAAGGCGCCACTGCGCACTGCTGCCCAGACTGCCGCGGGAAGGCCGTCAGGGCCTGGGGCCGCAGGCCGGGGCCCAGCGCAGCGCCGCGCGCAGGTCCGCCAGGCGGGGCGCGGGAAGAACTCGTCCTGGTCCAGCGACGGGACACCGGAGCGGTTTCTGCGGACTCTGCGGACGGCCAAGGTCGAGCAAGCTCAGAGACACCGGAGCGCTCGAGGTACGTCCGCTGCTCCTGCCGCCGCCGCGCGCCGACGTCGGGCGGGGTCGCAGGACAGAAGGCCTGGCCCCAGTGCTGGCTCGGCGCGCGATCGATGGCGACGGTTTCCCTCCAGCACCGCCAGGTGTCGCCTGGCGTAGAGCGGCGCCCAGAGTCGCGCGCGGCGACGAAGCGCACACTGCTGCGCGACCAGCTGCATCTTCCGATTCTCCTCGGGCTCCTGCTGGGCGGCAGTCTCCAGCGCGCGCCGCGCCTAGCCGCCCCCTTCCTCTGGGCAATGCTGCACCTCCTCGGGAACTCCGCGAAGTCGAGGATCGCCACGGACTCCGAGGACACGTCCACCTGCACCAGCTCACGCGCCCAGACAATCTGGGAGACCGCCAGCAGCGCAAGGGAAATGTCGCCAGAATGTTGCCGCGGAACTGTTCCAGAACGTTCTGGTGACAGTCTGCTCCGCGCTGGGTGACCGCCAGATGCGGGGCCCTGCTGCATCGGGTTCTGAGTCGATCTCGTCGTAGTCGCCAAAGTTAAGGTCGCCGACGACGAAGACAGAGCGACAGAGCGAATCGCAGGCTCGCAGCGAGCTCACTCGAGGTCGAGACGCAGGCGCGCAGCGACCCGTCGCCGTTGATCAGGTGAAACATCGCGGATGTGTCGCCCCAGACGCCAAAGAGCGAAGAACGCGTCCAAGGAAAAGTTCCCCAGCTTCATCATCGCACGCACAGCCGTCAGCTGTGGCAGGCACTACCCAAAAAAATGACAAATATGACAATGTGTTAGCAAACAACAACAACAACAACAACAACAACAACAACAACAACAACAACAACAACAACAATCACTTTACCCGAACGCTCAGTGTTCTCACCAGTGCCAGGGTTTTCATGCGACGCCAGCCAATACCCCCACTTTGTGGGGGGGCAGTGCAAGCTCTACCAAATATCCACACGACTCTTCGCCACCACCCACACCCAGCTTCCCGCCCTATGACGTTCGGACACTTCACTTCGTGGCCTGCGGACGACCGTGGCTACTACACTGGCGTGGAGTACACACCCACAGAAGTTGTTAAGCCTACGTTCGTACACCCACAGAAGTTGTTAAGCCTTGTGAACCCACAGAAGTTGTTAAGCCTTCCACAGAACATCTGTTGCATATGATGCATATGGTACATGATACACATGATACACATGATACGTACTCACAAGATAGTTGATCACATCTTTAGGGCAAATTCCTGAGGGATGTGGGAATACACAAGAGAGAGAGGATATGGTTGTCCCGATGGTTGTCCCGTTTGATGGTACGAGCAAGAGGCGCGGGATGAGATTTTGACACGAATTTTTTGTTGAAAAGAGCGCGCGGGATGAGATTTTGACAATTTTTTGTTGAAAAACCATTGGTTTTTTGATGTTTTTATGTTAAAATCGCTGCGAACACTAAGGTTTTGGAAGGATTTCGTCTTGCGCGCGCGAATGTCCACTTTACCTTATTTTTTGCAAGGGATTCTTGAAATTTGATTATATTAGAACAAGAAATGTCATTTTCTATTGTTTTTTGCAAGGGAAAGCGGATTACAACAAAACAACCGGATCCTGTACACACCCTCTTTTCTGAGGCTTCCTCACGAAAATGATGAAAATGTAGCTGCGGCCTAGGCGGCGCAGGGGGGGCGCGCACCAGGGGGCCCAACAATAATTATTCTTTAGAATAAATAATGTTCAACAACAACAACAACAAAACAACAACAACAACAACAACAACAACAACAACAACAACAACAACAAAAAAAAAAAAAAAACACGAAAACAAAAACAAAAACAACAACAACAAAAAAAAAAAAAAAAAAAAAAACGTCTGAGTCGCCACATCTCCCGAATCTTCTCGACCTCCTGCCAGGCACGAGGTAAAGCAATGAAATGGTCAGTTTCGCCAGTCTGCCCAGCAACACCTCATGCTGGCATCAGAGGCGTTAGTCTCGGAGGGGGAGGTGGAGGGGGGGGAGGGGGGGGAGGGGGAGGGGAGGGGGAGGGGGGGGAGGGGGAGGGGGAGGGGGAGGGGAGGGGGAGGGGGGGGGAGGGGGAGGGGGAGGGGGGGGGAGGGGAGGGGGAGGGGGAGGGGAGGAGGGGGGAGGAGGCGGAGAAAAAAGGGGAGGATGGAGGAGCGCGCGGCCGCAGTCCGTCGGCGCCCGCCCCCTCCCCCGGGTCCCGGTGACGCGGTGGCGCAGCGTGCCCTCCTCGCTCACGGCCCAGGACTCGTTCACGACCGCCTCCTCCGAGCGGCCGGACGTCGGAGCGGCGCCCCCGCGCAGGGTCGCCCAGCGTGCTCGCGTCGCAGCAGCGATGGCGGTCGCCAACGCGTTCGGAAGCCGGCGGGCCGCGCAGGATTGCAAAAAAAAACCCTGGATTGCAAAAAAAAACTTGTACGAAGGGTTTTTTTGCAATCCTTCGAAGGGTTTTTTTTGCAATCCTTGGTTTTGTTTTGCAATCCTGGTTTTTTTTGCAATCCTTCGGGCAGGGGCACGGTAGACAACTGGGGGAAGAGGCGGGCGGGCGCGGGGGGGAGGGTCTCAGGCGTAGCCAATCTCCGCCTCGAGGGATGCTCAAGCGGCCTCGGGCACCGAGAGCCGGTATACTGGCTGGAAGGTGAGCGGTCAGTGCGAGCTGCCGTCGGGAGAGTAGCGTCGTGAAGAAAATCAGAACGGACATGTGTTGGCGGTTTGCGGCCACCAAGGCCCCTCGCCGAGCCCCGTGACCGTCGAAACGCGACTCACGACGAAAAACCTGCCCCAGAGAACGGTTCGCAACTTTCAGGGACAGTGAGAAAAAATCACGACATCGCATGCCTGGATCTGGGGGGGGGCCGAGCGGCATGCGGAAAATCCGCACCCGTACAGGGCTGCCAGTGCATTGTCTCCACCTCTCACACGCGCCTCTCGCAAGGTTGGACAGAAGAACAAATGTGCATATCCGTCAACGTACCGCTGGGCACGGAGTGGCTGTGTCCTCAGGTCCTTTGCCCAATCCCCTGAGCCTCAGTCCTCGATCCGAAGGAATCTTTTAAGGGGCCCGGAACCCAAATTCTCAATTCCTTTGAGGCCTCCCACGGCTTGTCGGGGATTCGGCGCATCCTGGCCTGTCGTGTCAGGGATCAGGCTCGCTGGCGGATGGGCCGAAGGCAATTAGATTACTCACCAGCCAAAGCAAATCGACCATATTTCGCTGCGCAAAACAACAACAAGAAGAAGAAGAAGAACAACAACAACAACAACAACAACAACAACAACAACAACAGCAACAACAACAACAACAACAATAACAACAACAACAACACTTATGTTTGGACTGTTCGCTCTTACTGGCTCGCGTGTCTTGCATTCCGAATACCCCAACGCTCGATACCCGCCCACTTCGTCTTCGATTGCACCCCCTTTCGGGGGGAAGCTCTCCCTTGTCGGCCACTGACTGAAGTGCGAAGAAGGCTCGAGCGAGAGCGCCGTTCCTGAGTTCGGGGGCCTCTCTGGCCAGGGGCTCTCGGAATACCTACGGAGAAATATCGAACGGGAGCCCTTGTCGCCATGTCCGGGCCTCCACCAACTTGCCTGAATTACGGGAAAGTCTCGAGCGAGAGCGCCGTTCGTGTGCTCGGGGGCCTTCTTGTCCAGGGCCTCTCGGAGTAAATCGTGAGGAGGTATCGAGCAGGAGCCCTTGTCGTCGTTGCCGAGCCTCCGCCAACTTAATTGAATTGCGAGGAAGTCTCGAGCGAGAGCGCCGTTCCTGAGTTCGGGGGCCTCCCTGGCCAGGGTGTCTCGGGGTAAATTTTGAGGAAGTATCGAGCAGGAGCCGTTGTTGTCGTAGCTGGGCCTCCAAGGGCCCACAGGGCCAAGCCAACGCTCGAGCGGGAGCCTCGCTTACACAGAAAGTGTAGCGGGCGTCGGGGCGAGAGCGCGCGGAACCGTTTCCGGAGATCAACCGAATTCATTCGTTTGGAATCTACTCAACAAAGAGAACAACAGCAACAACAGCAACAACAGCAACAACAGCAACAACACCAACAACGACAACAACAGCAGCAGCAACAACAACAACAACAACAACAACAACAACAACAACAACAACAACAACAACAGCAACAACAGCAACAACAGCAACAACAGCAACAACAGCAACAACAGCAACAACAACAACAGCAGCAACAACAACAACAGCAACAACAACCGTTCTTCTCCATGCCTGGCCTTTGGAGGCACGCTTCGGGCCCCTGGGCCGTGCCCCCGACGGGCACTGCCAGGATCGGAGCAGTGAGAGCCAAGATCGGCTTCGGGATGGCACAGCGACTCGATCGCGGCAAGTGGAAGGCCAGCACGGGATCGTCTTTCGTACGCAGCTGGCAGACTGAAAGAGCACGTGGCGCGGAGTCGAAACGAGAGCCAGGCTTTGAAAAGAAACGATCTTTCCTTCGCGTACTGCAGGTTCGTGTCGTGTCGACCCCAGCGTTGGTTCCTGACACCGCGCGGATCGTTCAACCTGGAACGATCGGCCGCCTCCGAAACGTAAGATCGTTCAAAACGGACCGATGCTGGGTCGCCAACGGCGTTCAACCTTGAACGCCAAAGGCGGGGTCGCCACCGGTCGACACGACGCGAACCTACCGTAGTTGGGGGGGGGCAAGACGTTCATCAAAGTAGCAGGCGAGCGCCTGGCGTTTACAAGAAGCCCATCCTCCACCCGTGTGACTGGCGGGGAGCCCAAGCCTCAGGACCACGTCAAACCCGGCGACCTCTCAGGCGAGTGCCGGCTTCTGAATCAAAGCAACGCTTTTAGGCGGCCCAAGGGGTGTGAGCTGGAACAGCCCCGAGAAAATCTGTCAATAGGGGGGAAGGAAACCAATTCGCTACAAATCTGTCCCCGGAACCGTTCCTGGCTCTCAAACGGTCCAGTCTTTCGAGCCGCGTCCGGCCGTGGCGACGTGGGGTGCCCTGTTATCCCTCCCTTCTGCTGGCCAGAACCAGTGGTGGGCCACCTCGGCCTCCCAGCTGGCTCCAAAGCTAGAGGCCTCCTAGATGGGGTACAATAGATGGGGCCGAAGGATCGCGCCGCACCGCCGATGCATCGCCGATGTCTCGGCGATGCATCGGCGCCATCGGCGTGGATAAAGCCGGGTTTCAGATCGAGCCGCATCGCCGACGCATCAGCGATGCGGCGCGACCCTCCGACCCCGGCTACTCGGACCCTATCTGGGAGGCCCAGACAAGAAAAAACGCGCGGGGCCCGCGCCACCCGTCCTCGGTGTTCGTCGGCAGCTCGAGCTGCAGGTCGCTAAAGTCGCCATCCCCGGCGCCCCATGTGGGCATCGCACCCGCGCCCGCGGCGCGGGCGCCTATCTTGGGCGCTCCGGGGGCGAGCACGCTCGAGGAGATGGGTTGGTTGGCTGGTTGATGGATCGATGGACCGGGCGGCTGCTGGCGTGGCGGCAGCCGTGGCTCTGCTGCGTGCTCGACCAGAGGGCGACGAAGATCTGCACGTATCCACTGCTTCCTGGCGCCAGGCCCAGCCCGAACCCAGGAGCGGTGTGTACGCAGCTCCTGGGTTCAGGATGGGCCTGGCCGGGGAGCAGTGGATGCGTGCAGATCTTCGTCGCCCGAACCATTGAGCCCGTTGCCGCCCATCGGCCCCGGGCGGTCTTCGGCGGTCCTCAGTGGCCTCTGGCGGCCCCCTGGCAGTCACGGGCGATCTCCGGAGGTCTCCCGGGCGGTTTTCGGCGCGAGAGCTGGGCGGTTCCGTTCCCCAAGGGGTCCGTGATGGAACGCCTAGGGTCAAAACTGATATTGAGGAGGCGCGATAAGGATGCAAGCCCCTAGGGAGCCACTGTCGAAGCTTTTCGAGCGAGGGGCGGCCAACGAAAGTGGCCAAGGATGGGCCGAAGAGGCAAGGATGCAAGGGTATCCTTGGGAAACCACTCATCCTTACTATCAATGCTGACTCTAAGCTTGACGACTGACACTCCGGAAACGAAGACGTGCGCGGCCAAGGTCGAAACACGCGCCCAAGCCGAAGAGGGAGCTCTGGGCACTGCCCGAAAGCGAGCGATCAACGAATCGATAACCCGCCCGCATCAGAAGAGGGCTGAAGACGGTGAACCACCGACACCCAGCATACAGCCGGACAAGGCTGTGCACTGAATGAGCTGTCAGTTGCGAGTCGACGACGACGACGACGACGGCGGCGACGACGACGACGACGACGAGCGGGGGAGGCGAGACCGACAAGCGGGATGCGGGAGGCGGGAATCGCGCAGAGCATCACCACATACTGCCATCGAAACGACTGGAGTAAAGCGACAAAAACTGCATAAGCATAAAATGTTGGAAGTCCGCGATGATTGCTTGGATTTGCCCTGGACACCCCCTCCCTGGCGCGCGAAGTCTCCAGGGGCGGCACTGAAAGGGCCGCCAAATGGAGCCCGGGCGCCGATCCCAAAAATCCGCGCAGAGTTCCAAAATTCTATGCTGATAACGTTTCTCTTCCTTACTCGATGGAAATAGGGCCATCCTGGGCCCTGGCGTGGGGACGAAGGAAAACGTGACTGGGGGGTTGCGGACGGCGGAAGGCGGCCGCCTCGGCGGCGCGGGCGGCCGCTTCGTCGGCGCGCGGCGCGGGCACCTCCTTGCAGGGGCGGAGCGGGGCGCGCGGAAACCGCTGGCCGGCCGGCCATCAGGCCCCGTTGCCGGCTACCCGCAAGAGTGACACCTCGCAGGAGTGACCTTGGCATGGGGACACGATTTCTGTACACCACTCCCACGAACAAGTTGGTTTGGCACACGACCGTGGAACGGCGGTTGCACACAAAAATGACATCCCTTGGGGGTGCGAATTTTGTACACCACCCCTACAATCAAGCTGGTCCGGCACAACATACGCACGCGGTCCAAAAGGAGCCCCGACCCCCTCCCAAGGGCCCAATTTCTCGACCCGCATCCATTTTCCTGTTCCCGGGGCCCGACGAAGGCGCCATAAGACGCAATCGAAGAATACAAGTACCCAGTGACGTACCCAACACTGTGGAAGAATGACGCAACTACACACGGGACCGCTCAATACAAACGATGCGGTTGAAACACCCACAGCGCGGAAAGAGCACTTCGCAATGCAGTCAGACAAACGCCCGAAACGTGGATACAGAAGAGCGCGGCTACGAGGGCAACTAGAAGCAACAAGCACCCGAACGCGGCAAAAGAGCATGGCCACGCGAGGACCCAGAAGCACCTAAAGGTTGAAACAAGAGGGCGCCACGCGCTATGTGAGGTCTTGTTTCTTCCATATGCTACTTGTCACCGTCAGTTGAAGGCGTCGCCGCCAGGCGCCGTTGAAGTGTCAGAAATAGCGCACAGAACCGCGGCCGCCACTGCTGGCGGGCGCCGCCCCCCGTCATGCAGGAACTCGACCAGCCCGAGCTCGCGCGCCAACGTCCGAAGGCGCGCAACCAGGTCCGCCGGTGGCCCACTAGACAGGAAGTGGAGGCCTGGATCACGGATCATCACGAGGTTGTCCGACGCCGTCGCCCTCGAGAACGCGACGTACAGGTGGAGCCAGGACCAGTCCATGTCGTCAGCGTCTTCATGCCCGGCGTCGACGATGACGTCCGCGTGCATGACCCGGCCATGACGCGCTGTCGCCGCGAGCACGATGGCGCGGGAGATCTGCGGGCCTGCGCGCGTCACTCTGCGCTTGCGGAAATCAAAGTGGCACGACGTCTGCGGCTCGATGAACTCAAGCCGCCCCGCGTCCGAGACGTCGACCCCCGCCGCGCGATCCGCCGGGAAAGGGGCCGCCCTGCACTTGCCCATGCGGACCCACACGCCGAGCGGCAAGCGGCGATTCTCGGCCCCCGCACGTCCCACCTCGCCCTCGTCACTAGGGTCGACGGCCACGCGCGCGATCTCGCCCTCGGCGTCCTTGACCAGTTTCCGCATTGAGGTCGAGGGTCTCTAGCAGACGAATTCGCGCGCCAACAGAAAAAAACAAACAAACAAACAAACAGACAAAAACGGCAACGCCCCACGCGCGCCGCCAGCGGTGCCCGGGCCCACCTGGTTCAGCAGCGTCACGGCCAGGTCCACCGGCAGCCGGGGCGCGGGCGCGTCGGCGGCCAGCACGAGGTAGAGCTAGAGGACCTGCCCCAGCATCTGGGCGTCTCTCCTTGCGCGCATCATGATCCAGCGGGGCACTGCCCCAATACCACGCGAGCACGCACCCCTTCTGGAAACGCTCCTCGGCCAGCCTCGTCTGTAGTCAGCTGGATGCGCCTCCACGCGTCGGCGACGCCGACGGGCACCGCGCCCTTCTTCGGCTCGCGCATGAAGTTCATCAACCCCGCGCGGCGCGGGCCCTCGAAGCGGTTGGCGGCCTGGAGCTCGAAGCGCAGGAGCGCGTCGCAGAAGGACCACATGCCCTGCCAGCGCTAGACGGGCGCCCCCCCCGCACGCCATCGGCGGCCGCCATCTGCCGCAGGTCAGCGCGAGAAGCCCCCTAGGCAAATCACGATGGGCACGCAGCCAACAAGCAAAGGAGGGCATCCGGTAGTTCGCCCCATGCAGATTGTACTGGACGAGCCTGGCCTGGAAGGCGCGATACAGGGGCACGTCGTGAAGATTCAGTGGCACCGCGCTGACATCCTCGATCAATCTCAGGTCCCTCCAGATGTTCTCGAGACGCGCACGCATGTCGGCGTCTGGAAACACGTCGCGGCCCCGATGCTCCTCGATACGCATCTGCGCCGCCCAGCGGCAGGAAGTCGCCGCGCGGGCTTCCCTGGCGATGTTCCCCGCCTGAGACCATGTGGCACAGGTGATCAGCGTGGACTTGACCCCGAGGAGGAAGTCCATGGCGGGCAGCACAATCTGCCGGACGATCGCTGTCTTGCCAGAGCCCCCCTGGCCCATGAGCAACATCTGGAACGACTGGTGGCGGCTACACGAGACCTCGCCCTGCTCGTCGCCACAAACGGCGTTGTAACCATTCGCGAACGTTGCCGCGAACAGCGTCTGGCCCTCTGTAGCGCGCGGGGCATTCTATTCCGGGCGGCAGCGCGCACGCGCCCGCCCTCAAACTTCTTCGCGAGGAACGCCGAATAATCGATCGGGCGGCGCCAACTGGAGCCCCCTGCTCGGCGAAACAAATTCCAGCCTCGATGCCAGGGCCCAGGGCTGCCGGGGCCCATGTTCTGCGCGGGCCAAGGCCCGTGGCCGCCGGGCGCAGCGCGGGGCCCCTTCCGCGCTCGCAGCAGGCGCGCGCCCCGCGCCTCGTCGCCCTCGGGCGGCAACAAGAATACGCGGAAGAGGATGGCCTGCAGCGCGCAGCGCACCTCCGCGTTCGTCTCCGGGACGAACTGCACGCCCTCGACCACGGGCGCGCGCGGCGAACTTCTCCTCGACCCGGTAGACCCACATGCTGTAGACGCACAGGTTCATGTCGCGGACTATCGGGTCGTCGCCGAGGCGCAACCACTCGTTGAGCTGACTCAGCACCAAAGCTTCGTATCGGCGCCCTGCGGGAGCCGCGCAGGGCCCGCCGTCGTTGGCGGCGCCCGCGCCCTGGCCCTGCTCGCCCTCGTCCTCGACCGCGCCATCCTTGCGTTCTTCGCGGAACTTGCTCAGCGCGCTGGCGGCCAGCCCCGCGGCGACGTTCGCCTCGCCCGACCGGCGCTTCTTCAGCTCGTGCTCGAGGAGCGCCAAGGAGTTGCACTCCTCTACCTCAGGGCCCGCACAAACGAACCAGCCGTCGCGCACTCTCCTGGGCCAGCCTGGCGGCAGGTCCACCTCGCTGCCGTCGCTCATCGCGCAGGCAGGACGGCAGAGCTCCTCTCCGCCCTCCTGCGCCGCCAGCTGCCCACAAGCGCCGCGCCAAGCCTCGCCCGCCAGCCACGCGGCCTTCCGCGCGCACGCATTCCAGCGACGGCGCGTCGAGAAGCAGAGGTGTCCGAACAGCATCGGGCACAGCACCTCGAACCCGATCTTCCACGAGGCTCGGCGGGAGCAGGTCTCGAAGCGCGAGAGGGCCTGGATGGAGCGGCGGCAGATTGACTGGTGCCCCTTCGCAGCGGCGCCATCGCCTCCGCAGCGTGCCGCGGCGTCGGCCTCGCGCCACTCGTCGCTCAGGCGACGCACCCGCGTGAGCAGCCTCTCAAAAACGGCGCCCGTGGTAGGTTTCACCTTGGCCGTGTAAGAATTCATGTAGTAGCCCGCGCTGTGAGCATCCACGAACATCGCGACAACGGTTCGGTTCCCGGCCTCGTACAAATGCCTCACCAGGTCAGTCTCGGCGTCGGGGTCGCCCTCCCAGCCACTGGCCGGCGCCGCCGCATCATCCCCCGCGTCGCTGGATGGGCGCTGGGGGCCCGACGGTGGGCCATCAACTCCGTCTGGCGACATCTCGTCGAGCTGCTTCAGCGCCTCGTGCCAGTCGGTGAACGTCACGACGGCGCGCCGATTGTGATCGATGGCGCCCCGGAAATTCATCCAGCCAAATTGCTCTTGCCTGCCAATGCTGATGCCTGGGAAGCGCTGAAGATAATTGCCACGAGCGCAGTCCGGCGCACCCTTGGAAAGATCGGCGGGCGGCTCCAGGTCTGACGGATCCGCCCAATTGCGCCGCTGATCTTGCACACCCAGGTTGCAGCGCATGGCGATCGTCCCGACGTAGGTCGTGGGGATCGCGCATGGGTGCACCTGCCAGGTAATGATGCGGCCCGCCATGCCGTATTTGGTCGCCTGGTAGATCGCCATGCAGCCGCGAAACTGCTTGTCCCGGCGTCGCAAGCGCGCTTCCCCATCGGGCTCCTCCCCGCACATGTTCACGACGCGGTCAGAACCGTGGCGGCAGATAAACGCGGAGCCTGTGGACTAGTACTCGAAGCACCACGGGCTGCTGACGTGCATCGCGCAACCGATCACGAGCTCTTGCGCGTCGGCGCACATTTCCCTGATCCATTCATCACGGCAACGCCTGCCAGAGAGCCTCCACTGCTTCGGCCCGAAATGCACAAACTATCTTCCCGCCGAGCCGGTACTGAGGCCCCCGTCCCGATGGCCACTCGTTTAACCCCCTCGCCCAAAGACTTTTCTACTGGTCACCGTGCTCTTCGAGCGAGCCATCCTTTTCGACGACCGCGCACTGTTGGTTGCG